AGCGCTGCGTGGGGTTGTTGTGGCCCAAAGGCAAGAACCGGCACTTGGCCCTGGTGAAACCCAAAACAGTTATATTTTGCCAGTGAAGCAAAAAAATTCCTAAATAAAAAAGCACCCAGTTCTACAATGTCCATTTACATGGATTGCGGGTAGGTAATTTTTCAAATGCCAACACCTGACATTAACTTCAGAACAATTATTCTAGCTGGATCTAATGATATGTGAAAGTCCTTGTTAATTATACCGATTTAAACAATACTGAGCTGGTTTCTACACCCAGCTGTGTAATACCAGGAACTGGTGCTAGCTATTCGGAGCTGTTAACTGTAGTAAACTGCAGTAATTTCTTGGGAAGCCAAGACACCTGCAAATGCACCTTAGTATTCCCAAGTCTGACTGCTAAGGTCTGCTGGCTAACATAAAACTGCTTGTTATGTTGCTTTGCCTCTTTACAAGGCTGCTTTCGTGTATGTGATTCGTACGCAATATTTTACTTTCAAGTGTGCTTACTTTAGGATGATTCTGCCAAAGTACTTGTTTGGATCTGAATTTGATATATAATCATCTAACAGTTGAAGCACGTATAATTTATATATATTTTAAACTGGCCTATTTTTAACTCTAAATATTAGTCATTTATAGTATCAAATAAAAATGTTTTGGAAAAGGACAGATTCTTGTTTGACTACTTAAATATATCAAACTGGATAAACTGCTAATCCTGCAAGCTGGCATTCCGGTCCAAATCCTAAGGCTGTAATCAAAAACTGCAGTTATAATGATATCCCAGTTGTTTCTTATTAGATAAAAATGCCTCTACAAAGTGTATTGCAAATAATAAGATTTTCATTGATTATTTTTTAGTATTATTATGTTACACTTATTTATGCAAGTTTTTGCTGAACGTAAGTATGGACAGAATTACACCTTTATTAAGGTTTGATAATTAAGTGTTTTCTCACTTAAAATAAGATCTATAAAAGTTTAACTAATAAGGTAAAATTTTACTCTTATTCAAAGCACTTAAAATGCCACAATCAATTTTCTGTTAAAAACGCTTTAAAGCTTTCTTAGCCAAAAAAGTCTAAATTAAGGCCTTGGTAACTTAATACTCAAGACACTTAATGTATTTCTCTACTGCAACACCTTTTAGAAACACATTGGTGACAATTATTTAAGAGACCTAAAGGAAAAAATATTTTAAAATTTCTAAAAGGAGAAGGAGTTTAGTCAGTTCAGTCACTGTTTATTTTCTGCAAAGTAAAATCAAATAACATTAATGTAAACATACGTAATACATAAATATTAACTCAATCCATTAAACCTTTGTGTACCATGGCACTGACCTTATGGCAATCGTGTCACTTGAAAATGATGTTGCTTGCCAATGACAGACGTTTCTAAATCAATAAATACATTAGAAAACAAGAGAACAGTTCACAATATGAAAGCGTAGTACCTGAAACCAAATGCTACCGTACGGTCACACAGGAGCTGTTCTTTAGATCTGTGTAGAGAAAACAATTGTCACTAAAGCTCCCTCTAAAAAAATAAAACGCTTTGTTAATAACTACTATTACCTAAAGTTAGGTAAATCATGCCAGATAGCACAAAATACAGTAGCTGGAAAATGCAAAATAATTTGGTAGGCCCATCTAATTCTTCGGCATAGCTGTGCAGAAGTCAAGAGGGATTCTCTGTTCCTTCCTTAAGCCTTTTTCTTTTTTCTTCCAGTGTTTCTTTCAATACTTTTTTCAAGGTACTGTAAACATACGGTCCATTTTCAGCATCGAAGCTTGTCTAATAAAAGGGAGAAATTTAAGTTCAGTTGTTAAATAGATGCCATACAGCAAAACGCAAAGTGGATGACCAACATTTTTTAAAAAATTAGTTTTAAGATTTATCAAAGAAAGTATGTGTTTCGTGATGGAGTACGTAATGCTAAGTATTTTCAATTTTATGCTGACTAGGCATTAAAACAAACTAGTAGAAGGAGAAATGTCATGATTGTTTTAACAGGTGATGTCTGTAGATTTACAAGAGATTAGGAAGCAGCATGATGAATGTTCTGTTCAAATAATTTCACCTGCTGAATCTGAGAAGCAAGCAGCTCTGAGCTGAGCAATAGCGAGCTTAACCTGTCACTGTTATTAAATGATTCCAAAAGCAGAAGTTATTTATACACATCCTATATTAAGGGCCCAAAACGTAACTGAATTGCAATGTAATTTCAGAAAATTATTTAATCTGATGGAAAGACTCCAAGTAGTACAGAATCTACCAAAGCCTTTGGTAAGATACTCCCAGTGACTAATTATTCTCACCACTTAAACATTAGCTTTTCCCTAATTTGAAGAAGTCCGTGAATTGGCAGTGATCCAGAAATAGAAAAATAAGACTAAAGGATTAAGGCTGTAGTGACAGAATTTAATTTTGTTACGAATATTTCCTACCCTTTATGGAGGCTGATTATTATTATAAAATGTAAACTCTGAAATAGATAAGCATGAGTACGCTAAGTGGGAAGGAATTACGGTAACTGTTCTCACAGAGGCCCGCTCTGTTGATCCACCCTTCGTGATCTGAAACAAATACGACGTCGTGGACAAATGGTTACTTGCCTTAGTGAAAGCTTTAATAGCACGAGCAAGTAAGGCCTCCTCCACATCAGCTGGTAGCGTTTGCAAGTTCACCACACAGTGTAAAATACAAAGGATAGTCTGACACTGTTCCTGGTGGGTAAAAGGAACAGCAGCTCATTAGAAGAAATATTTTCATGAAAAACATTTAACTTTCAGTTTTTGTTAATTGCTGTTTAAATATCAGACTGTGCCTTCCTGTATTGAAGCCTTCAGGTGTAGGAGTTAGGGAAGGAATTTTCACAAGCCTCTACATAATTATTTCAGTCATGATGGGAGAAACTCTCCTCTTGTAGTGTACCACAAACTGCTCTGGAAATTTCTAGGAGGTCAGGCATGCATCGGGAGACTTATTTTTCAAGGTCCCCTACACAAACAGTAGCATTCATGTGACTTAGCATAGAAAAAGTGAGATTTGATCTTTTCAGCCCAAAATGCTATGCATGTTTAGGGCTCTTTCCCCAGCTAACATAGGACGATCTGCATCGCTCTCTGTCCTACCAAGTCTCCTTCCCCATTAAAGGAAGCTTGCAGAAGGACACCTGGGCAGTGCTAGCAAGGATGCATAAAGGGAGCGACAGTTTCATGGCTGCTAGTTCCCACCCCTTTTCCAAGGGAGACAGATCTCCACGCTGGCAGGTCACTTTAACAGTGAAAATCACATTAAAACTTGAGGGATTTCTGGGAAGAGCAGCTAAACATGCACCAGTACATATTAAGGGGCTGACTGGCTGGAGAGCAGATGAGCAGGAAAGAACCTGGGTGTCCCAGTGCATACAAAGTTGAACACGAGCCGGCAACGGGCCCTTGCGGTAAAGGCAGCTTAAGAGCATCCTGGGCTGCATTAGGCAGAGAGCTGCCAGCCGGTCAACGGAGGTGACACATGTGGAGTGCTGGGTCCAGCTCTGGGCTCCTTGGTATAAGAAGGACATCAACATACTAGAACTAGTCCAGCGAGGGGCCACAAAGATGATTAGGGGACTGGAGCGTCTGTCATACAAGCAACCTGCCCTGGTTGACTCTGTTTTGAGCAGGGCGGTTGGCCTAGAAGATACCCTGCCAACTCAACTATTCTGTGATTCTGAAATAATATAGGATAAAGTAAGATAAAATTAATATTTTTTAAAAAAATTTATTCCTTTCCCATTCATTTATAACAGGTGTCAGCAGTTATTTTTTAATTTAATACAAATAGAAAGTTAAAACTCTGATAGGGTGGAAGAATGCTTCAGGAAGAAACACGACATTTTTAGATGAACTTGGGAATTCTAAATGTCATGGCATGAAGATGGTGACTGCACATAAAGTTCTGACCACCTGTTGATTAGAAGCTGTATTCTTGGATATCTGGAGGCTGTTAAAAGGGGCCCTATTTTCTTCACAAATACTTCAGAAACAAAGATTTCCTGAAGAATTAGGAAATGAATTTGTGTAATTAAGAGATCAAGAATAGAGAATTTTTTTTTTAATTCACCTCGCATCTAGCCCTTTGGGGAAAGCACAATTACACAGTTTGGACCAGAAGTACCTGTTTTTCACAGGGATTTCGGAACACAGATGGCCACAGTTCTGACTTATGTAGAAGAACTTGGCCTGGCTTCCGATTCCTTGAATTGGCAAATTCTTCCTTTTCCTTGCCCCAGCTCTTCCAAAGCTGATGGATTAAGATGTTTGCACAGCAAATATGACAACCATTAAGCACAGCTGCAAGACGTGACGTTAACGAAAGCCATACACCGAGTCACAGGGAAAAGGTTTCTCATCTTTGCCTCTGGATCTCAAACTGCAGAATTTGCAGGGAAATATCCTGAAGTTGAGCTTCTGCTGACTGGCGTTCAAAGACAGGATCTGGTATTTTTCTTATAATATTCATCATCATAGTATTGATTACAACTCATACTATTCAATACCAAACAATCCTCAGTCTGATTTTTAAAGAGATTGAAGTTGCCTTTCCCTTGCCTAAAGGCCATAAATGAATGGTTTAACGCACATTAACAAAAGGTACGTGGCAGTTAAAGAATGAATTGACGTATATAATATGTACCTTTCTCAGTAAGTAAAGTGCATCCTGTGGTTCTGTGCAATTTTTTGCCAGCATGTCAATATCATCTTTGGATATAATAGGTTCTTTCAGCTGCTCTATCCAGGACCACATCAAGCTACAGAGGATAAAAGGATCCCTCTCGGCACAGATTTTATCCCAAGCTCCATCTCGAGAATTCAGTTCTTTCTTAAAAAAAACGAAACAAAGCAAAACTGAAAATGCATCATCTATTTACTTTTGCCAACATTCTCTTCGATTGCAGCAGTACTTGGCTGCTTACATTCCGACAAAAAAAGAAGACTTAAGAGTTACAAGTATTTCTAGTTTTCTTCCAAAGCATCAACATTAATCAGCAGTAATACAAGTGATTCTTTAAAACAGCAGGATGACATAAACAGTGCAGCCCAGAACCTCCCAATTACCTACTAGAAGACATAAAACAGCTTTGGATTCCAACTTCAAAGCGAATGTTGCTAGGAGGATTTGGTTTTGAGGATAAGCAGTTAAGTTTCTACTAAATTCTTTTACACACAGAATCCTCTGATTAGTTCTGAGAAAGCACTGATTAAAAACAACACAGCTCTACCTTAAAATCTGTAGTACTTTTATGCTACCAGCAGCCAAGTTACAACCACAGATGAATTGCATCAATTTTCTTTAGTTAGTAAAACGAATGAACATAACCAGAAACGATGTTCTAATCTCCTGCTAGAGACCAAAATCTGTAGGTGCGTTTCTTGCTTTTGAAAGAACTGGCCCATGACTGACAAATACAATCATTTACTGAACCACGGTATAAACTGGTGTCCCAATGTGCCATTTCAAAGCACATGGTAGCATTTTTGACATTCTAGGAATTAACCTAGGTGAAATATGCAGAGCCCATAACATTCAAACAAGTTAAAAATTACCTGCCACATTTCTACCTTCTGCTTCACTTCATCCTCTCCCAGAAATTCATTTATATCTGCAAGTGCTTTTGCTGCCAAAACTCTTCGGGCTTCCAAACTTAATTCTGACTGCAGAACAATGTGTGGAATTGCCTCTGGCACATCTTTGCTACCTTGGCTTTCATATCCGATGGAAAAGTTCATTTTAGAAGAAGAAGAATCAGAGTCCTCGGAGACACAGACTCTTCTGCTGTACATATTAGTCTTGCCATCTTTTCTATGACCAATCCTATTGGTAAAATTATGCCTTGACGTTCCAGGTTCCCTGGTATTTGGGATAGATGCTAGACCTGAAGAAAATGTTCTGCTGCGTTGTACTTCTGTGGTAGAGTTCCTTCTGTGATAAAGTGAGGATCCGTCTTTTTGTCCATCCACATTAAATTTACCTTGACTCCAGAACATACATGTATTATGCACTAACGCTGCTTTGTTTAAATCCAGCTGTGGCTTTTGTTCACCTGTGGCAGAACATTCCTCACCACTGTTCTGCTTAAGTTTGTTGCACAGTAATATCTGAGCAGGTACTGTCCATGCAGTCTCTCCCTGATCTAAAAGAAACTCAGTTCTCTTTAAATATGGCTCACTATAGCTTAGACGCCTTTTCAGATGAGTAAGAGGCTGAAGGCATTCAACATTCCCTCTTTTCCAAAGAGGATCACATTCATGTCCCAAGGAGAAAAGAGAATCCTGGGTCTCAAAAGTGGACGAGTGGGTGTGGGAGGAGTCCGACGTGTCACTGTCCTGCCTTGCGAGGTCTCTATCTAGCTGTGTGGACATCAACTGAGAGACAGTCTCTTCAATTTCAGCTGAGAGATCAGGTATGTCTAACAACTCTGCCTCTATCACTTGTCTGTTTTCAGCCAAATCTAGCAACAATTTGCACACTAGATGAATAAGTTTTGGCACGTGTTTGAGATGTCTACTCTCATAACCATGGAGCAGATGTCTCTGACGGGTCAGGTACTGGGACAGTGTCACCGTGTGCGCCTTGGGCTCACAGCATGCAAATACATTTCTCAGAGGAACCAAAAACTGCGTGAATTCTCTGATGCATAGTAGCTGCCCTCTAGTCTGAATAGAATTAGGCCTTTTTGCTCTGACAAAAAGAATTGCTTGATCAGCACTCATTCTTGTTGCAAAAACTAAGTAGCAAGCTATTAGAACACCTGGAAAATATAAAGACAAGCATTAGTTGAAGAACTATCAGACTAAAACAAATACTCAGTGGAACTACAGGATAAAAATTAATATAGGTAACGATACAGGCTTTACACCTTCTATTAAGTGATGCTGTTAGCTAAGTATAGTTGCATTTGGTAGACCACAAGATAGTAAACCCATTCTCACTATACTTTCAGTGAGAGCTGGTTTCTCACCACAGCATCTCTAGGAGTTCCATCATTTGTGAACACAGGAGCAAAAAGGTCTTGAAAGAAGTAAACGAAATTTTAGCTGCTCCACCAAATCTACCTGATCTAACAGTGAGTGGCAGGTTTGTAAACATGTAACAAATACTGGACAATGAAAGTGTACTAGGTGAATTTTTCCTATCAAAAAGAAACTGTCCCATTTGAATGTAAAAGAGAATTACACAGATTCAAAAATTTCCTAACCTTACAGGTTTCTGTTTTTAATATACTAAAACTGATCTCCTCTAGCCATTCAGATCATTTTCACAGATTTGTTCAGCATTTTTAACCATTTTATAGATGTACATCTTGCAGTGATATAGAATCTAAATAAATTATTAATAATTTATAACCAGAGACTGTTTTGCATTTTTAGAAGAACAATTCTGTTGATCTTGCAGTAGAGCACATACCTGTCCGACCAAGTCCTGCATGACAATGAACAGCTACCCTCCCCTCCTGTAAGGCGAAAGCCATGACTTTTACCATATCAAGTATAGTAGTGAGAGATGCCACTCCATAATCCTTCCATCCAAAATTATAAAAATAAACTAAAATAAAAAGAGGGAGAGTTATTTTCTGCCGCACTGAATGTGAAATTTTCAGTACTATATGCAGAGGAGAGATGACTAATAATAAATGATAGTACTAAAATTGCATAATGGATCTCAGAATCTGACTACATATTGTTTGCAAGAGATTATCTTCCCATTTCAGTGTACACTTGCTATTGAAATTTGATAAATACATGAAGCTAGCAAAGAATTGTCAAACTAAAGTTCAGCTAGAATGTAAAAGGTGTAACAAAACTGAGTGATTCATACAAAAATTACTGAGCTATATATAGGTAGAGGGTAATTTTTTCTTTTTAGAAATAAAAGCACTTCTTCAGTCAAAAGGTGTTTCTTACAGAGAGGCACTTTCTCTCATCTCACCATAATATGGAAATACAAAAATACTGTCAATACAAATGACCTCAAATGAAATAACCTTTTATAGTCTAGGTAAGAAAACACGAATGTACCAGAATCTGAAACACCATTAATGTTTTATGTATTTGTGAACTCAGAAGAAGAAAAATTTAACTAGCTGTTGCCCTTTCTTTATTCTAAACACCTGAACATAAACCCTCCACCTCACTCTACATATATACAATCTTCAATAACGCGTTATTCATTCTTGATTTATTTGCCAAGTTTCATGTTTACATCCCATTTTGTGCAATGTTTCTTACATAGCTGCTTTTAACACACAAGAACTCAAGTAAAAGTATCTTTAAGTGCCAAAATCAATAACTAATGAGGAACAGCAGCAGGAGTGAACTTACTTCCAGCCTCCATAAAAGCTTCAGGAAGGTAGGTGAAGCCGCTTTCTTGTTCCAGTGGATTCCCACAGCTCGCATGCTCCCCAGGACGCTGAAGGTTAATTATGGTTTTTATGTCACATCTTAAGGAAGGAATAGATGAGTCAAAGTATTATGTGCAGCCAAAATCTCATTATCCCTTATTTTCTGAAACACACATTTATTCTTAGTGGAGAATAAATCTTTACCTGTATATCGTTAAAATGAAAGGATCTTTATCAACAATCCAAATCTATGTTGAAAGAGAAAATGGATCAGGAATGACACTAGTAATACCTACAATAAATAACGACTAAATTTGTTACCTTTCAAACTGTTCAATAATGTTGTACTTTTCAATTAATTCTGTTGAGGGTCGAGCCATAGCCAGTATGTTATCTGTTATCCTGAGAAATTAGAAAAGTAGATAATAATGTTGTTATTAATAATTTTCTGGGTATGAATCTACCAAAATAAGAGTACCATGTTATATTCAAGAAAGACAGAAATACCTTGCTGATTAACTAGAAATTATTTTTCAAAAAGTTCTACTATCGTATAGTGTTAGTGATAAATCTTGTTAAGCTGATACAGATATGACATATCAAAAGACCATTACTGGAACTGTTTAAATGCCAGGCCAATGAACACATTAAAAAAGTCCTTTGAGCAGAAATCTGGACTCAGATCTCTGTTTGGCCCTTTAAGGTTTGTATGCTTCTGAATAGCATTTGCCGTGACAAAAAAATCAGTAAGAATGTAAAGATACATTTCATTTCATGTGACTATTACTGCATATGCATATGCTTTTGAACACATACCTTACATTATTTCATCTTCAGTAAATGTTTTTACTTTTAAATTCTATTATGAACACATTTTAATTAATTTGCATTTTAAACCTTAGCAAGAATTGCCTATAACCCAGAATAGTTTTTTTATAATTTGTGACAGGCGTTTATTCTTTTGGATCTGAACCAAACTTATTGTAAGTCAACAGAAATCTTTCATCATCTTTACTGGGCTATGTACAATGGCCAGTATGGTTTACTGTTAAGTTGTAATTCTGAATCAAGCTATCATTATGTTTTACACTTAACTTAGCAGTAGCTGATTTTAAAAAAAAGCTCATTATTTTCCTTTGAATTCTCCCTTTTAATAAATGATGCAGTTACATTTAGTGAGAGTAAATGCTGCTTATTACCAAGAAGAGAAGAGCCCTTTAATGGCTTGCTCCTGGTCACTCCATCGAGCTGGGTTTTCATACTTGCAAGCACGTCCACCACATGCCATTGAGCACTGCATGTGACCAGGAATGACATGGCGAAGGCGCTCCCCGACTTTAGTGTATTTTGCTGTCGGACGCCTCGAACTCCCTAGAACACAGGCAAAAACAGGTTTAGTAAGGAAGCTTAGACATTCATCTCCACCTTAAAAGTATCGGTTCAACCTTAAATCGATGAAGTTACAAACAGCATAAATATATGGAATATATATTTAAGGCTCATTTTTCAACACAGACTTGAAGTAAGGATTCTGAGGGGAAAAAACTGCTTGCGTTACTGCAGAAGTTGTTTTTTCTCACAGTAACTTTGTTTTTTCTGGTGAAGTTAGAGGTGTGTGATATCCCTGCAACAGAAAAAAATGTCACGGTCCTCTTCCACCCGACGTTGAAAATCCTTAGCCATCTACTTGGTGTGTGTGAACGTGTGCTTCTGTTTTATCTGTTCTTTGTAACTCAGCTGTTAGAGTGAAAAGCATATATTAATCCTTGAATAAGGCATCAGTGAACAAAATATAAAATACAGGAATAAAAATTGAAACCCAGTATTTTATGCATATATATAAAATATAGTTAACAACAAAAGTATATTAATTTAATACCAAGAAAGTACCCAGAACTGCCAACAGTCTTAATGAAAAGCACTTTACTTTTTTTTTCAGGAAAAGTTGCATCCAGCTCCTCAGGGCTCAGAGACGATACCGCCACCATAACCCGGTGAGTCGATGATGAGAGCACCTCCACAACGGAGCTCCGGCGCCTCTGGATTATGCGAAGAAGGGGATCGGAGGAGGAATGCCTCCGACCCTGGAAAAAGTTGCTAAAAATACTCACTGCCGAACGCCTTCGGGGTGAACCCTGCATGACTGACCAGCCCGAGCTACCGTCTAGGAAGGCTGCTGAGGACGCACTGATAGGAAATCCAAGTTGCTCAGCGCTGAAGTTGCGGAGAGCTGTGCATCCTTCTGTATGCTCCAGCAGCTAGTCAGCATGGGCTGAGCTGTCTCCATAGTAACTAACAATGAAGGTGCTGCTGCCAGCTATCCTTGGGGCTGCTCCATTCTATAGGAATTGAGTCTGTTTGGGACAAACTGTTCCGCTGCTGGACGAAAATAGTTGCATTTCAAGTAGATAATTTTGAAAACGGACTGGGAACAACCAAAACATTTTCCATAAACAATGTGAGTATTTAGTTAGTTGTAAATAACATGCATTCAGAACTCGCTAAGACACAGAATACTAGATTCAAAAGAACAATCAAAATGTAGCTGGAGGCTCTGCTGCCTGAAAAATCTGTAAGTACATTATACTCCCCCACCTCTTGGTTTAATATTCCACAACCACCTCTCCTCCTCCACTTAGTTGCTCCAAAATGCATCATTAGCTCTGTAATAATTGGGATTAGTGTGTTCCTACTGAAATGGTTCAGAACATGATGAATTGTAGACTGTTCGCTCTGGATCATTCATATCTTCTAACAAAACACAATTTGTTATTCAAAACAAAAGGCTTATTTTTTTTCAGGGCACAGCTTTTTTATTAAGCAAAGCTGTTAGCCCTGCAGACTGAGATAAACCAGATCATGGGGAGGAGGAGATGTATCAGTTGAGTGCTTTAGGCTTTTGAAGGTAGATATTAGGTGGCAAATTGCCTCCCACTTTGCTTCCAGCGTGCTAAGAAGGAGAATGAGCTGGCCAGAAAGATTGCAACACTCTCAAAAGCACAAAATTCTCATGCAACTATGTGGAGAACAGACTACAGCAATACTATAAAAACTTTGTCATCCCATTGTCTGTGCATTAGACTGCATGTTAAAGAGAGAGAAACTGGGGATATCAAGAAAACTCACCATAATTTGTTCAATAAGCAGATTAATCCCACTGCATTTTCCTAAGGATATATACTGTCTTTGGTCTGTGTTTGACATTTCTTTTTGTACTACAAAACCAGTAGCTCTTACAGAGGAATTTGCATACGAGAAAGCACTCTTCTGATAAAAATTAATCAGGCAGAAATCTACCATTTCTTCTAGGTACTGAACGGGAATTGAGTGACTGAATTTTGAATACTGCGCCCCAGCTCTTAAGGAGACACGGTAAAGTTTGCTGTAGATACCAGGCCTGAAACATCAGTAGTGACGTCATATGAGAAAAGGAAAATTTAAAAGCTGACTCTCAAAACGCTGACTATTCTAATTAAACAATAAAGCTGATATCAAGAGGTGAGGAAATATTTAAATACGCTTTTATTTTGGGGGTTGGGTGGAAGAGAAAGGAGATGAAAAAGGCTATTTCAAGTGCTACCTTTATTCAAGAAACACGAAAAATGTTTTCTAATTAATTATATTGCTTTCTTATATTTAATTCTTTTTCTCTTTCTCTTCCCAGAAACTTTTCTTCAGTATATATCAAATTATAGTGGAGCCAGAAATGAGCAAAATAAAATCCTGCACATCATTATTTTCCTACTGAATCTACCAGGATTTGCAAGTACTCACCCAAAACAGTAAGAAAGAACTACATCCTATAAGAGTTTAAATACTTCATTAGAAAGGGAGTTTTGCTGAAGGCATGTTTGTATTTTCAGGGAGCTAGGCAGTTTCTGAACACAAAAATCACACTGTTTCTTCAATTAAGAGATCTGACAATATGAAAGCTACAGAAAAGCTCAACATATTAATGCATCGTGGTGAAGATAAAGTAATGCAGGTTGGTTTTGTTATAGACATTTTATGTTTATAATTGGGGATAATATTTCTGGGTTTTTTAATTTTCTATGGAAAATATTTTTTTTCCGAATTTCTCTAAGCACTTTTTATGAATGGCATACCAAAGAAGAATTATTACCTGAACTCATATTTGCAAGATATAGGCTGCTCTCTAGCAACGAAGAATACGGTAGTTCATTTTGCAGCAAAACTCCTGCAGCCATTGCAGTACCTGTTGAAACAGTAATAAGTTCACTGAAAATCTACCACAGAAGGTCAAAAATGCAAAATAAAGCTGAGTACCTGGCACCTGGTTATACAGTTGTCCAAGGCTTAAGATTTGGGCAGTCAGACGTAGACTATACTTTCTTTTTGGTGTGCAGTCATCTTAAAATTCAACAGTTTCACTGTCTGTCCTAGCAATTAGAAGTTTAGTCGACCGTGTGTTTCAAGCTCTAGAGTTTGGCAGATTATGTACTTTATAGCTGTGTGTTTTATATGGACAAGAATCACTCAACTAAAAGCATTTAATGTAATGCCATCTTGATTTTCTCAAATTCTTAAAAGTAAACATACAACCAGAGATCTCAAACTGAAATCTTGCAAGGGGCAGTTTCAGCAACGCTAGTAATATCGTAATGGCAGCATGATTTCTAGATCACACCATTTATAGTTTTAGTTGATACTTGCCAAACAGACTGTCCACAAGCTATATGCCTTCTCTGCTCTCTTCCCTCCGCTCCTTCTTTTTAGTCTGTTGGCAGTTTGAAGTCACATATGTGATGATTCTCCTCTAACAAGAAAACTGAATACAAGAGTCTGTCCAAGCAGAAAACAGTTTTTTCTCATGCTTTAATATAATTTCTAATGCAAGGTAAGTACTACTCTGAAGACCTTCTATCTGACAAAAAGAAAGCTAAAGGAAAGCTGTAAATGTGAACACATTAATCAGTCACTGTGATGTTTAAATAAACCATTTACATGGATCTTCAGTGGAAATTCTTACCCAGAAACCATTCTGTTTCTCTTATCTCTATAGGAAAATAGTTGCAAATATAACAAAAAAGTATTTTTTTATACCAAACTAAGTATGTCTCTGCTATATGTATAACTATAGAAACTTTATTAAATAGACAAACCTTAGGTCCCAAATTCTGCAAAACCAGTATTAGGATTCAGCAGCATAAAGTGTTTTAAAAGACAGATTTGCTAAAAAAAACAATAAAAAAAAAAAAAAGCATTGTGGGGATGAGGTGGTATTAACAGTCCCGTGCTGTGTTGAAGTGTGGTGTTAACTGCTTGCTGTTCATTGTCCACCTTTTGTCTATAATTCTGCATAATTGCTTTTAATGTAAATATTTAAATAGATTCAAATAGAATTTCATTTAGTCAGGTATTACATTATCTACCACGTACTTGAATAAACTATTCTTCCAACAATGCTAGTGGACTTTATTGCACAAAGTCACCTAGGGCAATTCTGTTCTTTTCAAGATGCTTACAGGTGGGAACAGAATACTCATACACATTAATAACCCTTTAATAATGCTGGTATCAGTTGCCTCAAAAAGATGAGAATTACATTGTTTGTGAAAGCCAAAAGGCCTTTTGAAACTTCAGTGATGCTCAGAAATGCACTTCTAATGTAAATATATTAATAAGAATATGAATTAAGATGAATCTTAATAAAGATTAAAGAGTATCTGGAGCATTTTCTACTCAGCTACTTGACCATCTGACTCTGCACTTTTAAAAGTCAATCCTTTAATTAAATAGGCAGGAATACTTGCATATAATTGCATTCTGTTTGGAGAAGCTCCAAAACCTCTATTTTTTTTCCAGTGGACTTTGAAATCAGTAAGGGATGGATTTCATGATCAGAGGAAACTTTGTAGCTAAAGAAATAACTTTATTTTATGCACAGAAATTCTTTTTAGAGTTAACAGAGTTGAATTAACAAAAATTGTTGGTTTCCATTTCTCAGAAAGTTCTCTTAAAAAATCTTAATAGCTTGTCCAGATAACATACAAGCATTTGAAAAAGACACGTCTCATCATATGGGCAGCAGAATCACCACCAGTACGACTATTTAGTTTTCCTATTTCCTTGTACTCAAGTGTTAGAAAAAATGAGATGAAATATCAGAGATATTTCTATCATCTAAAACTGTTTTCCTTTGTTTTTTTTAAACCAGAATTCAGGCTGACAAGGACTCTTAACTGAAAAGGGAAGAGATGGAGATTAATGCAGAAGATAATATGCCTACAGTATTACAAAATACTAGCAAGATTGTTCTAAACGACAGAAGTAAACAGCATGTTCATTTGCTGTGTAACAACTCAGAACTCCCTCAATTTTATTTCAGAAGATATACCAAACCCATATTTCCTGTTCTGTATGACCAGACAGTTCCAACTGACTTAAGTATTTTGTCTGCGTGCCTTTCAGCTTGCTAAATTTACTTCCTGGCAGGTGTTTTAAATTGCACAGTGTGATCAATGTGAGCAATTCCCTTATATTTATTTCTGAAAAAAAGTTCAGTAAGATTGTGACAAATCACTTTACAGAGTTATATTGCACTCCCTTGAACAGATGTAGAATGTTGTAATTTGGGACAGGAAGTACTATTTCAGTGCCGGTGTTACTAGAGAGGGGTATTACATTCCTGCACAGATAAAAACTGTTAAAAGTAAAAATAGTGCTTGAGTAAAAGAAACAACTCCCTCCTGATTCTTCTATGTACCAGGTATTCTTAGTTTTTAAAGGTCCTCTTCTGCATTTTGTTCATCACATGAACACTTGATAGATGCTGGAGAAAAAGCCAGGCCTGGAGCATTACTCCAGGTCATGGTCCTCATTACTTGACTGAGGGAACCGAGTCACATAGCTTGTGGCAATCACGATACCACCTTAATCAGATCCGCTCCGTTCTCTCTGACATGCATTTCTATTGCCATGGCAGCAAAGAAGCTGGTCTTTTAATCCCTGTTTCCCAATTCAAGAAATGGAACAGTGTCTCAGGTGATGTTCCATCTCTTTATGTTTTATCACAGGAAGCGATGTCATTAAGTGTGCACAAACAACTTAGCTAATGAAACCAAAACATAGTAAAAATAGCGTCTGTGTTGCTGGCTGACTGAGGTAAACAGCAGTACCACATTGCCCAAGGAAGCAAGGGTCTCTTGAAATCATGATTCACCGTCAGATGTCAAGCACTAAAGGGGGTATTTCAGGAGGTCCCCTCCAGGTGTGGATTTTATATTTGTTTTGATGTCTGTATATATTTTTCAGGTTGGTTTTTTTCCACTTTTGAGCAGACCAATTCCTAACAGAAAGGAATTAACCCTTTTTGTTTCCTGTTGGTTGCACCGTTGATTCACTCGTTGCATTTGGTAACATGACAGCTGTCAAGTCCTACTCACTGCTTCATACATGCAGAGAGGTGACTTTCTCGCAGAGGAAATAGCTTAGGCATGCTGCGCTGTCATAGGTGAGATCACTCTGTGATTCCACTTTCTTTTAAGGAGTGAAGCAGCCTTTTGTCCACACCCGTTTCCTCTGGAATAAAAGCACTTCTCTTTGTAAAGTTACAGATCGAGCAGTAGAGTGCCATGCAGCAAGCAGGACAACTGGCAGATCAGGGATCCACAACGAAGCAGGTTCTGCAACTAACTGGTGGGCAGACTGAGGAAGGAAGAGCACAAAGGAGGCATTCCTTACTGGTTCACACGAGCAGGCTGCAGGATGGACTCAGCAAGCTAGCAATGGGGTTAGCAAATTAGCAACTGGCTTAGGTGTCACTCTGCCTTGTAAGAAGGAAGATTCCTTTTCAGTATTTCAGGATCTGGAAATCAGTGGCTTCTGGTCACTGGGCTGAATTTTTGCTCCAGAATAAAATGAGAGAAAGGAGCAATGTCTAATGTTTTAGCAGCCAGAAAACAATTATAGAGCCAAAAAGTGATGAGACAAGAAGATGCTGGTCTCGCTGTACCTTAGCAATTAAGATGGTTATTTAATAGATGCAATTACTATCTTTTACTTCAAAACACGTTTTCAAAACAGAGAGAAGAGCTTGCATTCCAGGCTGGAACGATTCCAGTTGGAGCAGTTCAGCTGCCAGCAGGAACAGTAATCCCATTGTAAAGCTCCCCAGTGCATTTCTGTGGAACTATCTACCAATAGCGAGGTCCCATCTCGCCAGATTCGTGTGGATTTGGTAAACAAGAATACAACAGCACAACACACATTTCAAAAGATTACTTTTATGTATTAACGTGAAAAAATCCTGGATAAGATTTCAATTTTAAAGTATCAGTGTATAAGAAAAGCTATTTTAAACCTCAAATATATTCATATGATATAGGCAAATGCTGATGCTTATGCCTGTCACATAAAATTTAGGTTATTTTTACTATTTTCTTGTCTTCTAAAGTGAATTTGTTCTCTCCCTGTTGCAGTCACGTGTAAGTAACTACCCAGCAGCCAAATTTTAGAAGGAACATAGTCGACTACAGATGCAGGTAGCGGCCACATTAGCTTAGTTACTCAGGTAACACCTCTAAAATTTACTCCGTGTCCCGACTCTGCAGGTTACTTATCTTCCTGAGAAGCTTTGCTTTTGTGAGCAGTCCCACAGAAGTCAGCAGGGTATTTGTCTAAATAGAAGATCATATGGGATAAAGTTTCATTGCCAAAATGCAAAGTTCTGTAAGCTGCACTAATTAAGATGTTTTAGATAGATAACTAAAAATAACTTAGATAACTAAGACTAAGCAAAAATATGAGAGTGTAAGGAGAACTGTTTATATTTAATGAAGTGGTTAAGAACTACTAAATTATAACTTGGTCTCTAAATTCAGGCTTTAAATCTGATGTTTTAAGATCATGAGAGTTTTTAACAGAAAAACCTCATTTTGCTGAGACACAGTTAGTCATTTCTACAGGAAGCACTGGTAAATGAAATCATGTTTTCAATTACAACAGATTATCTAATTTTAACATTGCCAGGAATAACAAAGCATGTATTTCTAAAGTTTTGTAAAAGTTGTAGATAACTGGGTTTTGTTAAACTTGTTATGAATAATGAAACAAAATGCAAAGGTTGTTTTTCTAATGTATAGATCAGTGAAAAAGCTTGCTGATAGTAGATATTTCACAAATACTTAAGCTACAATTAACAAAAGTCTTGAAGGCAGTTTTAGCATTGAGCACACATATTTCAGTAGGCACACACCTCCATTCCCTAGGCTTATTTGAAATTTGAAATGTTTACTACCTATAAGCAAACACCAAAAACTTGGACAAAGAAAATAAGCACATAAATATAGGACAGAGAGAAGACAAGGTAATGATTTAAACAAATTTTCGTACAGTTTTCTTATATGTGATTTACACAGCAGAACGATACTACAGCTGTTGTAAAACTCCAGTGATTTCACAGGGACCGCAACCAGAACTGATTTGTTATTACTATATGTGTTTTTCCCCCTTTGGGAAAAAAATATTCCCCAACTGTTTTAGTAAAAGGTGACTGTCATTTAATCATTAAGTTTGATATTTACAAAGGACTGTAACTGCTTTCACGTACAAAAGAGACAAAAGAATATAATTCATTAGAAAATTATGTAGGTGTTGGTCTGATGATTCAGTATTTGCTATTCATAGATTTTTTGACATGAATAGCAAGAAACTGCAAGCTAAGCTGGTGGACAGGTCTACCAACTGACTTGATTCACGTTATTTAAGTCACGTCAGCTTTCTGTGGTAGCGTTAACCCAATAGTTATCAGACGTTATTTTAAACTACCTTGAACAGGCTGGCTGGCAGCCAGTAATTACTGTTGAGAATTATAAAGGAGATGGTGTAAAATGAGTATATTAACTGTTCTACAAACAAAACTAGTGACTCAGATACTCTTGAGCATGAATATCATGTTTACTAAGAGACTATCAGACTTGCAAGACTGACTACATACAGAAGAATGAAATATTGTCAGTAATGCATTTTAACAGCATTCAGAAGTGGAAAAGTCTAAAAATGAACTCTGCAAGCTAGAGGAATTATTTTTAAATCTCATATAGTCAAAACCATAGTAAATTTAAATGAGTTTTAACAGAGTTTCAATAATTTCAATTTAACACCTTACCTGTTA